CCCCCTTTCCCTAAAACATACTTACTGGACACAGTCTTTCCCCAAAATGTAAAGCTTATCCAGTAATATGTTTGACCTTTCCTTGATTATCTAGTTGTTTTAAAGATCTAAAGGTGAAATTGAAATAAACAGTCCATTTGAGAATTAATATTTTCCTTGCCATAACTTGTCCTTTAAGTAGCTTTCATTTTTTATAGTGCTAAGTCCTGGTATGGTGCTGTAGGATAAGCATTGGACTGCTAGCTGCAAAGTCAGCAGTTCAAATCTACCAGCTGCTCCTTGGAAACAATATTCAGGATCACTATGAGTTGGCAACGACTTGACAGAACTTAACAACAACTTTGGGAGTGTTGAAAGTGGTTATCCTTTTCACTCTATAGCATTTTAAATTTTGTGAATATTAGAACTTTTTTCTCTGACATCACAAATTTTGGGAGCAGAGTGGCTCTGTAGGATAAGCAGTGGATTGTAAACCAGTCTCTAAATGTTGGTGATTTGAGCCCATCAGCTGCTCTGTGGGAGAAAGATGTGGCTTTCTCCAAATCCCACAGAGATTTATAGTCTTGGAAACCCTATACAGGGTTGCTATATCTCAGAAGCCACTTGATGGAACTCAACAAGAACAGCACAAATGTCATCTGCCAAGACCATTAGGGCAAGAGTATATTGAAAACTGACTGGGAGGTTTCCAAAAATCATTCTCATGTATCTTTGCCCTTGAGAAATCAAAAGCATCATCAGGTAGTGGAACACGATGTTTTAATGGAATGATGTATGTTAACTTACATCAAAAGTGCCCACAATAAGCAATCCACCAAGGAGTTCACACAAGTGAGTGACTGCTTGAAGCAACAAGGTTGCTTTTGTGTCAAGCACTGAATGAAATAGCTCTATAGTCGAGTTACGTCCTCTTTTGAGGAAACAAAGAGGCAATAAACATAGTTGAAAACAGAGAGACAGATAGTGGTGAAGCTTGCAATAAGTCTAGCAAATGGATAGTATCTTTGGGTATTGAGCTGTGTTTCCTTAGGAATGACAGTTTGCCTAGCAAGAAGCCACTGGATGAAATCCTCCAAATTGGTAGCACTAAGGAAAAATCTCCACTTTCCTCCATGGACAAAAGTTAGCTTGATCCATGTACTAAAGTCTGGGTAAATATAAATATTTGAGTTCATTTTTTGAAAGCTTCTTGAAACACTTGAATGGTTACTTTTTTTCAGACTTTTAATTTTGGGAGAACTTGCTGTTTCTTTAAGATGATCATCAGAGCCTGGATGATTAGGCACTTTTTCTGGTGGTGTTGAAGAAATTCTAGATTCTGTAGAGACTGATGTCTTTTTCAGAGTTTCTGATTCCATGAGTTTCTGAAGCAATTCCTTGATTTCTTTACCCTTTTCTCCCTCCAGAACCTGTAAACAAGGTATATTGGAGCAAAAATTCTGGTTTTCCAGTTCCATAATTTTCTTCTTTAAGGTATCAATGTCTTCTTTTATAGAGAAAATATTGTTAGTTATTGTGCATTGCTTGTTTTTGTTAACACTTACTTTGATTTCCAATGCCTCCATTTGCTTCTGATAAAGGCCATTCTTTTCCTCAATTTTTGTTACTGAAGTGACAATGTCAGTCATTTGTCTGAGGAGTTCAAGTTGGGAAGTTTTGATATCTTGGAGCATTACTTTAAGATTCATTTCTTCATCAGTGCTAATATCATTTTGTGTACAATCATAGGAAGCCATACTTGGATATTTATATAAGTGCTGAGTCTTGCATTTATGGTAAACATTTTTAAGAGACTGTCTGATTTTAGAGACATTTGAAGTCCACATGCGGCCAGCGGCAGATTTTACTCTCTTGGTTTGAAGTTTGGACATCTTTCATACTGAAACAAGAGGCAAGATGTCAGACAACCTGATTAAAATCACATAAAAAGCAATGGTAGAATTAAATGGTCTTTCTCTTACGATTTGTTGGGTCTCTTCTGGTAACTAGAATGTCATCTAGTAGAATTCAAGATGAAAAACATCTAAGGCAACTGTAGACAGTCTGGTAGTTATTATCTTATAAGACAGCCCAACTAGAGAGTTCTGTGGCTAACCGCACGGAATCCTTCATATAGTGGTGATTGACCTACAGCTGATGTCACAATGGCTGCTGGCTTCAAATACATTTATTCTTAGGACAGAAGTTCTCAAAATTTTTGCTTTTAGGACACCTGTATACTCTTAAAAATTGTTGAGGACCACAAACACCTTATATTTATGCAATTTCTATATTTACTGAAGCCCTGTATTAAAAATTAACACAAAAAATTCTTAAAATATTAATTAATTAAGATGGAAAACAATAAGCCCATTACAGATTGTCATTAATGACTTCTCTATGTTTTAAAAATATATAGTTATATATTTAAAACATAGAGAAGTGGCACTGTTTCACATGTTTGCAAATAATTTCATTGTCTGGACCAATATAAGAGATCTGGATTCTAATATTTGCTTCTGCATTATATTTCATGTGATCTATAATTTTGGTTGAAGTATATTAAGAAAATGAGGCCTCAGATATCTGTGAAAGAGGAGAGATGTGAAAAGAAAAAGGAATAACTTAACAGCATTTTCAGATAATTGAGTTTTCTTTCTTTGATAATTGATGGAAATTAAAAAAAATAATACTGTTTTAAAAGGTTAATTGCAATATGTAATATAAAAAACAAAAATAAACAACATTTTATTGTGATTTGGGTAAACATCCACTCAGTAAATTGACCTTCACTCTACATTTTATGCACATCTTGACTCACACTACCCAGTCTAAATCCCCACATGGCCATATCACACTTCCCAATTCCTCCCTACATACACTGCCTCTAGTGTTCCTCTCTCCTGTCTGTTCCTGCTCTCCAAGCTTTATCACGGGGCAAATGCTGTCTTTGGTCCTGCATTACTTGTTGCTTTTGTGAGTGTAACCTTCCTGTTCACCTTCTAGGTCTGTCTATTGCTCTGCTAAAAGTTGAGACACAGCAGTGTCCTATCAGGTTAAATAAAGGGTGACTAAGGTACCAGCTGTTCTGTGGGAGAAAGATGAGGCTTTCTGCTCCCATAAAGATTTACTGCTTTGGAAAGCCTGTACAGGGTTGCTATGTGTTGGAATCAACTCCACGGCACATTACAACAACAGCAACAACAACAACAAGGACCACCTTGAAGGATTTTCTAGGAAAATTATTGAATGATGCAGAAAGCATCAAAAAAAGATGGAAGGAATACACAGAGTTACTGTACCAAAAGTTACATATGATCAAGTGCCAATTATACTGAAGGAGGAAGTCCAAGGTACATTGAAAAAACTGGCAAAGAACAAGACACCAGGAATTGATAGAATACAAATTGAAATCTTTCAAGAAAGTGAGGTGGCACTGGAGGCACTCACTC